TTCAAGGCAAATAATCCTAATATGGGAGACGCATTTGATATATCCCAACCAACAACATGGATCTCATATGTCGATGCGAATAATCTTTATGGCTGGGCCATGAGCCAATTCCTCCCAATTGGAAATTATAAGTGGGTTGCTAGTCGAGAATATCTAAAGAATAATCCCAAGATGCAAAAGAAATTCCTTCAAATCAGTTTTGCCAATCATTTAGGATATCTCAAAACGCCTATTATTCTTTCTTTCTTCTGATTATCACTGTACAATCTCAAGTTTATACATCTCTCTGAATTTTTTGATATGCAGTTATCCCATCATTTGATCTTTCATCTCGTGATATATTGCGAGTATATGTAGGAAAATCTAGTACCAGCGATAGTTATCTGAAGTCACTGAATAGTAATATGAATTGTCCGCATGATGCTAGATTGCGATACAGAATTCAGCTAACGAACTGTCCTTTTCGTGAAGAATTAGAAATCCCGTAATTTTTGGTTGGCAATCAGTCATAACGCGAACGAGTCTTAATTGATCTAAACCTTTCTGAGGAAATGACTCCATCGAAGAACGTCTTAATTTAAGGGACATCCCTTTGATCTCCACATCAATTAACGATGCAAACGATCATTTTTTTATGGTTGAATTCCGAATTCCCTTTCTACATATCCCGATGAAAAGGAAACGCGAGGTTCCGCGTGACCATTCAAATTTCTTTCAGCTGCGTCATGGAAATTTTTCTCACCTAGAAATTTTATTAGCTTTACTTGTGTGTTTGTTATTAATGCATATAATTCTACGTAAAAAAATATATATATATATTTTTTTTTCTTTAAAATCTCGCGATTTATATTGACCTGACCGTTTCCAATGTCAATGGTGATTGCATTATGGCAAAGACTTCTGTTGTATAAAGATCAAAAGGACACTTTGTAGTAAATATAAACATGAAAATATATTATACTATCAACTAAGATATGTTGCCCTGTTTTCTTAAAACTTTAGAACACCCAACGATTGGCAGTTATTCAATTATATAAATGGTTATATATTTTATTGTTTACAGCCCGAAATACAAAATAACTATATGTGTTTTATTTATATGATACATCTAATTTTTGCCATTTGAAAAATATTAAAAAATAAATATATTCAGAAATTACGAAAATCTCTATCTAAAATAATAAAAAAAACTATTCTAAATCAAGACCGACCCTGCAGATGGTGATGACAATGGGACAGCATTTGATGAGGGTGGTGACGAATTGCTATTATTATTATTATTATTATTATTATTATTGCTAATATTGTTACTGTTGTTACTGTTGCTATTGCCATTATCTGATGTTGTAGTGTTAACATTAACGATATCTGATGTTGTAGTGTTAACGTTAACGATTGAAACGTTATTGTTTAAAATTGGCGGCGTTCCAATCATTACATTTGGAACATTCGTTGTTGTACCTAATCCGTATAGGTAACCACTTGTTCATTCAAAAGAGCGTAATATTTTGTTAAAAGCCTAAAGATTATTTGGGCAAAAGAAATAACATAAAATATTCGAAAACGTACAGATATTTCGTGTCATCAATCTTGTCATTAAAAAACGTTTGACGCATTTTGAAGAAGGTCGTTGCTGTCAAAAGACTATCACTACCTGCCTGATGTTGGGGACCAATTCGGGTAACCTAAATTTTATTATTTTTTTTTTTGGATTTTAAATTTTAAATTTTAAAAAAAATGATTTCAAAAGTTTTCTCAATCCCATACCTGTAAATCATCTGCAATATCCTGCAAACCACCTTTTAAATTTTTGAAACTTCTCACAAGGAACTTTATATCATATATACAGGGGAAATATGTTCTCAATAGGTCAAAAAACTCTGATTCCTCGGCCGGTAAAGGAGAACATGTGAGCACTTTTAATAGATAGCCAAAATCATAACCACTACAACAAATGAAATAAAATTAATAAACAGTAATTTCATGTAATTTGGTAGAATAAACGCACCTATGATAAGATATCCATTTAACATCGTCCAGTAATACAAATCCAGAACTTATCAACAATTCACCAAAGTGTTCTACATCTATACCATACTCTTCATGTTTCTTGAAATCGATACCAGATTTTGTCAATAGGTCAATGGAATCTTGTGCATACATATCACCTCTTCATAAGCAGGAGATCGAAAAAGAAAATGTGTTTAAATAATTTCATTCATCATGTTCCCACCCACATACCGCAATTTTCTTTTTGCAATAAACACTGACCCCAAATTGAATTTAAAATTAAACTGCCATGTACAAGTATCTGGTGGTAAAGTTCCGTTCTCATCTGCAAATGTAATTCCTAACTGGATGATTTTCAGCAAATCGACATTACAACGAAGGGTTTGATAATGATAATCGGAACTAGTTCGAAAAATCCCAATGGGTCTAGCAACCACTCCAGGAAATTCAGTGTCCTAAAATACAATTAAGAAATTATTCATCAATTTCAAATTCTTTTTTAAAAATAAAATAAGATAAAATAAATTATATGTGATCTGATAAAATTATTTATAAAAATCCCAAAATATGAATTTAGGTACATGCTATTTAAAAAGTACTTTTTAAGAAAACCTTAGTACCATTGCGAGGAAAGGATACTGTTCCACTAGATCTCGAAGAACAGCCATTTCCTCTTCAAGATTTTCGGCCCATACTTCTTTTATATACTTGCTCTCATTGTTGGTTGGCATGTTTCACTATGAATGTTGTGTGGTAAAGGATTAAAGAATCACCAGGAAAGTTCCAACAAGCAAATCTAAATAAAGGTGAAAGAGATCTAGACACTTTCTATGCGAAGCAACTAATCTAAATGCGATCTATGAACTGGTAGCAATAAAAATAAGTGAGTTTGAAACGCGATAAAAAAAAATTGTTTTTGGGGGGAGATGTTTTGTTTTACGATCCCAAACGCTTTTCCTTGTTCGGAGCATTGCATTAGAACGTTCTATAAACTTCTAATCGTAAATCAGCCACGTGTTAATTAATGACATGACTAATGACATTTTGTTGAAAATTTTCTAATTTATTATTTTGTATAATATAAAGGAATAAAGAATAAAATATGTCTATTAATAATAGTATATTTAATTTAAGATATAAATCATAATATTCATAGAATATTTTTATATTATATATTCATTTAAATAATAAATTGTTTATAAAAAATATTATTCATATCTTTTAATCTATAAAACTAGTTATAACAAAAAATTTATTTTCAAAATTACAAATATTAAAAATGTAACAAAATTATTAATAAATATCTAGTTTTATAATTTATAATATAATTAAATTAGCATAAAATAAATTTAATTAAAAAATTTGTAATAATTAATAATTTTATAATAATTAAATCTTACTATTATTTTTTATTATTTATATTTTCAGATATATAAATTTGTAAAATAATAGTACTTTTATTATTTTTTATGAATTTTATATGTTTAATTTCTAAATTAACCAAATATGAATTAAGTTTTTCTAAAAATAAATTAGAAAATCTATATATTATTAATTTATGATATTTAAAAATAATAATTGTTATATAGAATGTAATCTAAAAAAAAAGGAGTTTTTTAGACTTTTTCATCAAAGTTAAAATTTTTAATCTATATTATATAAAATTTAATTATAATATATTTATTTATTAATTTTTTTATAATAAATAATAGAATCCTGAACTATTTTTAATAATAAGTTAAAATGTAGTTGTAAATGCAATATTATTTGACAATTATTAGGATAACTTATTTAAGATATTAGTAATTTGTTCATATATGTATATATATAAATAGTTTCTTCAAAAATCCTATTAATCATAATTCTAATAGTTTAAAATTCTGACAGTATAATTCAAAAACCTGATATTTAAAAATCTTTATAAAGGTATAATTTAATGGTTAATAAACCTAATAAATAAAAACCTAAATAGTTTAAAATTCTGATAACTAAGATTCTGATATAAATTATATTAAATTTAGGATTAGAATATGAAATTAGGATATAAGATTAAACTTAGTATTAGGATTTGAAATTAGTGTATAGATTAAAGATGGTACAGCAATTGATTTCAAATTTACAAAATGTTGCAACATAAGCTAAAATTAGTTGCAACATATATATGTTAAAACTAATTGCAACGTAAGTTGCAACATTAAAAGTTGCAACATATTAATTACAGTTCCCATCTTTAGTATAGATTAAGATAATTAAATCATTTAATATTTTATTTTATTAATATTAAAATTATTAAAATACTAATTATTAATAATATTTTTAAATAAAGTAATGCTATTTGTGCAAAAACTTATAATAGAATTTTTGGAAAAGAAAATATATAGGAGGCGGTCAGTAGAAAAGGAGGAAATCCAAAATTTTTGTTAATTTTTATTATTAAGCCAAATTTGTGCACATAATTGAGATTAGCCAAATGGTTTAATAATATAAATTTTGACCAAAATTTAGATTTCTCCCTTTTCTACTGACTGTCTTCCATATGTATAAAATGCAATACTATTCGATATAACTAAGCCTTATGTAATAAAATTACTTATTCTTTACTATTAAATATTAATGTTAAATTTAGACTGAAATATTATTAGAAGAGTAATTTCCTAAATATTATCTCTATAATCTTGATCTTTGCAATATGTGAAGTATCCTTAATAATGATAATAAATATAAAATTATTCAATTAGAAAATCTATGGATTACACTTATTGATAAAGTATTAAAAGATGCTTTTAAGAATACTTTATAATATTTATTGATCTTTATGAAGTTATAAGTAATGCTATTAAAAGAAAAATATAAAGGTAATTTGAAATATAGTGATGAATTTACAAGTTTTTAATTATATTAAAAGAATTAATTCAAGAGCTTTGAATTTGTTTTGACAAAATTTAAAAGGAAGAATAATTTAATCAATTAGAATTTATTTTATTTATAAAAATGAATTATGCATGTAATTGATTTTTAATAAACTTAAAATATTTTTTTTTAGCTAATTTTCTTATTTTATTTTATATTTATAGACAATTAAAAAGAAATAGCAAAAATTGTTTAATCAATTTAGATTAATGCTATAAAAAATTATTAGATTCAATTAGTTGATTGATTTAATTCAATATGATAGCTTTTTAATAAAATAGCTGATAATACAAAATTGAAATCACATTTTAATATTTATCTACACTTAAATGTATTATTGAATTAATATTTTCTAAAATCGAGATAAAAATCAATATGTATGCAAACATATCTAATATAATTAGCAAAATTAAAAATAAAAAGCTATTGCTAAAAAGGTTATATTTATATATTACAAGTATATTTAAAATTTATTTAAATTATTTATCATTAAATAAATTTTGATATTTTTATAAGATTTCTTTTACTAAAATTTCTGCTTATTATAATTGTATTAATACTAAATAAAGCAATAATAATTCAAAAACTATTAGTTACTGTATAGTCCTGAAAATAAGCACCTTTTTTGCTATAGTGTGCTTATTTTCAGGTAATTTAAAAATTATAAAATTTGGCTTCTTTAGAAATCCAAAATAAATGCTGATTTGCGCGATGTTGTGATAATCCGTGATGATCAGTATAATCATGATTATTACGCAAATGAGAAAATATGTAACACGATATGCATAATATTTGGTTATACTTACTTTTAGTCACCATACACAAATATAAACAATGCCACAAAAATGCAAGCGGGTTGTCAAAAAAAGTAAAACCAAAGCAAAAATTTCCAAATGAACCTGAACTTCATACTCTATTGAACAGAAAGAAGTTGTTGTTAATTATGCAAAGGAATTCAGAAGAAATAATGCAGCAGCACATTTTAAGCTTAATGAAAGTATGGTTGGACACTGAGTTAGAGCAAGCAAAAAATGGACAGATAATGTAAGCAGAAATAGCAAACGTGTTGGTTCTGTGCGAAAGGCTTTTTTTCCCAAAGCTGAAAAAAAGCTCTATTATTGGATAATTGATCAAAGAAAAGTAAGTTTAGCTGTAACCTATGCTATCATCTGAATCAAGATGTTAGAAATTATGAAAGAGCAAGGTATTGTAGCTCTTTATGGTGATTTGACAATCAATTTTAGGATGTCAAATCATTGGTTATATGCATTTATGAAAAGGTGGAATCTTTCTTTAAGAAGGCGCACAAAAATTAGACAAAAACTTTCAAAATAAACTGAAAAATTGTTAGAAAATTTCCATTGATTTGTTTTTCGCCTTAGGATTGAAAAATCCTATGAAATGTATAATATCTTTAACATGGATGAGATACCAGTATGGTTTGACATGGCTGGTAATTTCACTATTAATCAAACAGGTGAAAAAACAGTTTATATTCGTAGAACAGGCAATGACAAAAATCATTTTACCATTATCCTCACTTGTGCTGCTAGTAAGAGTTATTGTATCTATAAGTTTTTCAAAAAATCAATTTTTTTTAATTTTTTTACCATTTTTTTTATATAAATAGAAGTAAACTGCCACCAATATGTATATTTAAAGGAAAAAGGTTGAATCGTGGTGAACTAATTCCTACTAGTGTGGAAGTTTGGTTCCAAGATAATGGATGGATGGATAAAAATCTAATGATAAAATATATCGATTATTTTAATAATAATCGATCTATGGCACTAACTAGGGTTCCTCAAAATCGAATCGAATCAAATATTTAAGCAATTTGAATTTGATTTGATTTTTTCAAATCGAATC